CCCCTTTGTCTCACAGCGTCAAATAATGAAATTGATAGACGGGAATGAAACTCCCCTGAAAGATACTAGGGACAAGTTTGTGTTCTCTAAAGCTGAAGAATGAATTTTAGGAACAATGGAGGTTAAGAGCAGAATATATTTACTGGGAGAAAGAAAGCTTCTGTTCAAGACAGGGACAAAAAGGGACCTAAATGGGCTGCCTAGAAATTCAATTTCTATGAAAAGTATAAGCCAGATATGGTGGTACCTGCCTGTAAAACCAGCACTTGGAAGGCTGAGATAGGACAGTTACTGAGTTTGAGTGCTGCCCGGGATATACAGTGATGGCGAATTTAAGATCAGCCTCAAGTACATAGTGAGATCCTATCTCAAAAGCAGGGAAGGAGAAAAAAAAAAAAAAATACAAAGCTGAAAATACTGTTTTATTTATTTATTTACTTTTTTGGGGAACCGAGGATTGAACTCAGACCCTTGCGCTTGCCAGGGAGGCACTTATTCTACTGAGCCATCTCCCCAGCCCCTGAAAATACTGTTTTAAACAGTTTTTGGAAGACTACTTCAGCCAGGCACAGGGCTGCACAGCTATAACCCTGCACTCAGGAGGCTGAGGGAGGAGGATCGCTGCCAATTCAAGGCCCGCCTGCCCTACACAGTGAGACTCTGTGCCCAGAACACCCAAAATCTATGGCAAGTGATTCTGAGGAACCACCTCTCACTTGCTACGTAAGCATGCTCAAACCAGAAACTATTCAGACTAGCAAAGTGTTCTATTAACAATTTTGATGACACTGGCAAAGTTCCTAAGAACAGTAATACCCCTAAGAGTCTCATCCGTATTCACTGGGGTTTTTTTGCTGGAATTTGGGATTGAACTCAGGCCCTTGCACTTGCCAGAGAAGCGCTTATTCCACTGAGCCATCTCCCCAGCCCCCACATCCGTATTCAGTGTTGTGATTGGCCTGGAGTGGGATTCCCCGCCCACCTCTGTTTTCTTTTTAAGTCTGACTTAATTTTATCTTAGCTCACTCAACTTGCATACTTTATCCCTTGAACACTTAAGGTAAGACACTATTCTCTGTGTATGTATATCTGTTTTTTATAAATTACACTTAGTATATATTTTTAAGGTATCAAATTATATATCAAGTTATAATCAAGTTGTAATTGGTTCACTTATCAGGATAATTTCACTTTAAAGCTGCCTACCAAGAAAGTAACCTTTGAATTAGTTAATTTAATGTACATAATCTGGTCTCCTAAATTAAATATGTATTAGTCACATCCTGTATTTTAAACAATTTTTGAGCTGAATAATTTGTAATTGCTTAGGACAAAGACATTTTAACTGTTTTAAATGATTTTAGATTAACATATATGAAAAAAGTACTGATATGCCTCACCTAGATTACTCAAATGTCAACATTTGAGTTCTTGAAGGTAATCATTTCCATAGGTTTCCATTTTTATTAGTAATTTAAGTTTGTTGCTATAAAGGTGATAATCTAAGAAGTGTAATTTTTCAGCTTATATGTCAAATACAGAACTTAAGTTACCTAGTGCAGAGATATCTGCATGTGTGCTGACATATTATACTGTTCTTAGCATTGAGACACTCATAATCCTTAGTAAATGCCTTTTACTAAGGCACCAACCACTAGAAAATTGCAGGTTCAATCCAGATAGGTGACCAAAGGAATGAATCATATGAACTCTTGTGGCTTGGTGTCTCCTCATGTTGGTTTATTTTAAGTTTAGCAGTATTGGACTGGAGGTATAGCTCGGGTGGAGTGTTTGCTAAGCATGCACAAGGCCCTGGATTGGATCCCCTCGCACTATGAAAGTGGAAGAAAAAACAGTATTAAAAGAGGTTTTTTTCCAGTTACATACTTGAAATGTAATGCCAAAGCCGGGGCTGGTTTTCTGTGAGGATAGAAAAATCTAAATGCTCTTTGCCCTCGTTATGTAACTGAACTCTCACTGTTCACATCCAGAGCAGCTGCTGTTCCTGACGGTGCACTGTGAACCCTGTGATAACTTGCCAGTAGCTTTATTTGAATAACCTTCCCCCTAAAGAAGAAAGAAATGACGGCCTGTGCTGAGTTTTCTTTTCATGTGCCAAGTCTCCCAGAGCTTGCTGAAGGTAAAAACAACATTAACTTTGGATTTTTAAGAGCTAGTCTCAAGAGGAAATTAAAAGTTTCTAAAATATATATGTAGTTACTACTTACCTGCTACATATCTCTACCTTACTTATTGAAGTGGTGCTTTTGACATAAAATTTTCCACTTCAGTACCTGTGCTGTTTTTATTGAGAAAGACTAAAATTTTGTCCCTCCAAATAAACTAAACTCACCAATTGTAGAATGTTAACGATACTGACTTTACACAATGAAAACAACTATAATAATCCAGGATTTAAGTATATGTGACACTGATTTTCCCACTTTTGCTTTAGCTTTTTACCAGTTGTGTAAATCATTCTTTAAATATATCATCTACTATTGTGAATTAATGGTGCTCCCAAATATGCTACTTTTCCCCCATCTGATTTGACAGACTGCCAATGCACTGACTTAGATTTCTAGGGGGTGGGAGCGTTAAGTTTTTTTTGTTTTGTTTTGTTTTTTCTGGAGGGGTGGTATCAGGAATTGAACTGAAGACCTCATACTTGCCAGGCAAGTGCTGTGCCACTGAGCTAAATCCCCGGCCCCATTTTTATGTTTCCTACTTTGTGCAGTCAAGAATTTAAAGCAACTTTCTCAAGATAAATTAAAAGGAGAGATAAATGAGGAAGAGAAAAATGGAGACATAAAGTGAAACCAAGAATTCATTTGTCAGCTAACCTGGTGGTTTAAGCCCGTTACCCCAGCACGCAGAACCCTGAGGTACAGGATCCGATTAAGAGTTCAGGGTCAGCCTGGGCTGGGTAGGGAAACCCTGTCTCAAACAGCAGAGAGAGGAAAACCGGAGTCTGCCAGAACTCTGGCTTGGTTGCACAGCCTTTCTGTTCCACACTGCTGGTTAACTGCTGTACACTCTTCCCTTACTTCTCAATGTGTTGTCCTGGGTAATTAATTTGTCTTCCTGATAAAAGTGAAAAAAATACTTTTGCTTTCTTTTGGTTTTCCTTTTATATCCTTCCTGTTTTGTTTTTTAATTGAATGGCAACTAGTAAATAATCTGTGGGGCTGACATTCTTTGATCTGTGTTTCTTTTCTCTCAGTTTTGTCTTCTCAGATGTGACAGGAACTTTGCCTTTGAGTGCCTCTCTAGACTAATTTTCTCCTATATTTTTATGTTTCTATTTTCCCTCTATACGTGCAAAACACTCAGTACAAATGCAGATGTAGTCTTAAACTTCTTGACTTAAAATTTAGAAAATCTTTTCAAGAAGTTGCTCCCTTTTTTATCGGTGAGAAGTAGGTTTTGCTTTTTTTTTTTTTTTTTTTTTAGAACTGGGGATTGAACTCAGGCCCTCGTGCTTGCCAGGGAAGTGCTTATTTTACTGAGCCATCTCCCGGCCCTATATATTCATAAGGCATTCAAGATAGGGGAATTTTCCAATTGATTTTTGTTCTTAACAGATAAAAGATCTGCTATGGAATACCTGATGATTTCACCTTTTCAGAGTTTCACTATTAAAGACTAAATTGCTGGGTATGGCAGTGCACTCCTATAATCCCAGCACTGAGGAGGCTGAAGCAGGAGGATCACTTCAAGTGCTAGGCTAGCCTGGGGTCCACAGTGAGCATTACATAGCAAGACCCCATCTGAAATAAATAAATCTGTTTTTAGAAAGTTTATTGGGAAGTGGATGGTTGAGACAGATCTGTGTATGCCAGGCTGGCTTGAAATTGGAGACCCTTCTGCCTCAGCCTCCTGAGGGGTAGAATTACTGGCATGTGCACTACTCCTAAATGTACTGCTTGCTGAACGTTAACATATGCTTACACCCATACAAACTATTATTTTGTGTTTGGCTTCTTTTTTCTCAACCTTTTGTCTGTAATCTTTCTGGAAGTTGTTGCCAGTGGTTGCTTCCTTTTAAAATGTTTACATGTCAATGTTTTTTGAATCCCCTCTCCCAAAGGACACTAGTCCTTGTCTGCATGCAGTCTGTTGGTCTCCAGTTGTCTGACGTCACTGTAGGATTACTCAGTGGTAAAGCATGTGCTTAGCATGCTCGAGGCCCTGCGCTCCATCCCAGGACCAGCCCAGCATTCTCCCTTCGTTTTTATTTTTTTATTTTTTTTATTTTTTATTTTTTTTTTTGGTTTTTTTGGTGGAACCAGGGATTGAACTCAGGACCTTACACTTGCCAGGCAAGCACTTATTCTACTGAGCTATCTCCCTGGCCCCATCCCCTCGTTTTTAGTATATAAATTTAGATTGAGAATGTGACAAATAGAAAAATTTGAAGATTTGATATATGGTGACTAATTTTTACCTACCGTAAATAACCATTTTCCTGTCTTTATTAGTTATGCAGAAGGGGCTAAAGGACAACTTTGCTGAAGTCCAGGTCTCTGTCGTTGATTGTCCTGATTTGACTAAGGACCCATTTAACTTCCCTGTAAAAGGTGAGTAGCTTTGTTTTGTGTATATATATATATATTGTTTTGGTTTTCAGTCAAAATTTTTTCTAAAACCAGAAATATTTTTATGTATAAATATTGTCACAGGGGCTGGCGAGATGGCTCAGTGGTCTAAAGCACCTACTTGGAACAAGCTTGGCAAAGCACAGGGACCGCGGTTCAATCCCCCAGCACCACATGCCAGCCAGCCCCGCCCCCTGGTGGGCTGAGCTGGCCACACACACACACACACACACACACACACACACACACTAAATAAATGTTTAAAAAAAAAAAAAAATATTGTCACAGCTTTTCAGCCAAATACTGTATTGTTTACTTTTCATGCTCATTGCTTTCTGATGTTCAAATTTCATTTTATACCTTTGTGGGAAATGATTGTGCTTTATGTGCTTTTGTAAACTTCACTGTTTATATAATATTTAATTATATAAATATTTAAGTTCTCAGTATCACATGATTGATTGATTGATTGATTTTGCCTTTTTGAGACAGGGTCCCGCTCGCAGCTCAGCCTGGCCTTCAGCTCACTTTGTAGCTGAGGCTGGTCTTGCACTCACAACAGTCCTCCTGCCTCAGCCTCCTGAGTGCTGGGATTACAGGCATGCGCCACCATACTGCCCTCAATATCACACAATTTTTTTAAATTAGTTTTTTTTTTTTTTTAATTGTCAAAATGAGTGCTAGGAAACTTTTGTTTATTTATTCAAGGCTGGAAATTATCTTAAAAGTTTTGTATCTCTGAGTACTCAGGAGGGTGAAGCAGGAGGACTGCTGAGTTTGAGGCCAGCCTGGTCTACATAGACCCTGTTTAAAAAAAACAAAACAGAACAGAACAAAGAAGGGTTTATATTTGAGTCACCTATTAAATACTTATAACTCTTCAACAAATCTGCAACGTGATTATGTACTCTTTCGTAGGAGAAGGGAAGGAAATTAATGTTGGTTGAGTCAGATAATTTGTCGGTGGGGTAGATACCTGTATGTGATGTTCTAATTTTTACAAACCACTGCAAGGTAAATACTAGCTCCAGACTATAAATGAGAACACTGAAGCTGAGAGAAGCTAAGTAAACACAGTAAACCATAATCAGATTTAAATGTAGGTCTCTCTGCCTTGGATGTCTGATCTTTTCCCTTTATACCCTACTGTGATGAGGAATTTATAGATAAGCATATCGTTCTGTTATTATGTAGTTGACATCTTTATTAAAAAGTAGGTTGCTAAAATCTTGTTTTGAAAAAAAAAAAAAAAAGTAGTTTGCTATGGAAACATTCCTAGTTTCTAGTTCTGTTTCTCACATAACCATTTCGTTACCCTGAGTAAGACCCTCAAAATGTCTCAGCCTCAGATACACTGAAATAGGGAGACTTTGCCGAATGTCCCTTTAGCTCCTTTCCAGCTTAAACAGTCCTTGATTGTAAGCAGACTTATTTTAGAAGGTGTGTGTATGGATGGCAGTTCCTGTTAACATCTTGAGCTCCTTTAAAAATAATACTTTTATCATAGCCTTGGTTCTTCTGGACATGAGGGTAATTTATTTCTACTTGATAGTTAGTTAAACTAAAGATCAGAAAATGTATTCAAAGAAGAAATCTTAATTCTGTCATCAAGACTTCTGGTCACCAATTTGTATGACTCAAAATTACAATATTACAATACACAAAATTGCATATGTATATGGTCTTTCATGAACGGATCTTGCTAAGATCACTAATGACATTTATTGTTTATTAGTGTTATTTCACTGGTCTATATAATGTATACTATTCGGCCACTGCTGCCTAACATTCTTCTTTTGGTTCTTTGGCCTCGCTCTTCAGACTTTTTTGCCTCTTCTTGGTTCCTGCCACCTTTCTTTAATTTTTCCTGGCTTTCTCTTGCTGGCAGTCTCTTAAATATTGATGTTTTCCAGAATTTTTTTCAGCCTCTTCTTATTTTGTATAATCCTTCTGGGCTTCTACATGTACTTCAGAGATTTAACTACTACTTGGATATGACAGCTTTGAAACGTTTGTCTCTCCTAATTCTTTTTCTTAGCTATAGCTCTGTATTTCCAGCTGCTGTTGGACATCGCCACCTAATTTAAAGTCAACATATGTAAACTTTCGCTCGTTTTAATTTCCTCTTCTCCATCTCTACGCTCACTATTATAAACTATTATGTTTTTCCATAGTCTTCTGTCAGAGTCCCCCAGTGATTTCTCTAGACTTCAACATCACTAGCACTTATGAAAAAGAATCTGCTCTGTGAGTAATTTCTGCTGGTTCTATGAAAACCAATTCCTAAATCCTCAGTTGTAAAACAGGCCTATAAGAATTCTGTGTAGCAACACTCTCCCTAGCTAAAGAAGTAGAGCTTTTTATCTGCTTTACTTTGTAATATGTTAGCATGAAACTGGCAAGACTTTTTTCTTTGTGTGCATCATGTATATAATACCAGAGACTGAACTCAGGGCCTCATGTCTCCCAGGTAAATGCTCTGCCACTGAGCTGTATCCCCAGCTCCATGACTATTTTTTCTCAAATAAAAGAAGTTTTTCTACTCTTCCCTTTAAAGGAAGCGCCTTTGTCCAAACTACACCTAACCGTGCCAAGATAATTAAGCAAGGAGAACACCCGCGGAATGCTTCAGTGGCACAGAATGTTCTTACTTGGCTAACAGCCCTGGGTTCAGTGCCAAACTACCGCCCCCAGAGAAAGTTGGTTCCATCTAAGGTTATTACTTGTCATTCATATAAACAGTGCTGGATAAGCAACTTACAAGATTTCCCAGGATGGACCTAAAGACCATATATTCTACTAGAGCACAGTATTTTAAATTATGAAATAGTTTTAAGAGAAAAAAGCCAGAACTCCCCCCAAAAATAGATTTTTAAAAATTAAGGCATTGCAAATAATTCCAGCTACCTTCTCTAATCCAACTTTTGGCCTCAGTTCTAGCGTGCGCTCTGATAGCGACTTTCAGGTGCCTTTACTACTCCCTACATCAAGCGTGCAGGTTGTCATGACATCGGAGATACAAACAGGTAGTTAAGAGGACAGAAATACTAGCTTCTTATGTCTTCCAAGTCTTGCTGTTTAAAAACTTCAAGAATGAAGGTTATATACTCTTAATAAATTGGCCTCTTCTGGCACTTTGTATTTCAGTTTTATGTTTGCCTATTTTTAAGATGACTTGTATCTTTTTAGGCATCTGTGGGAAAACGAGAATTGCAGAAGTAGGAGGCGTGCCTTACTTAATGCCTCTTGTAAACAAAAAGAAAGTAAGTGGACTTTTATTCTTCACGTTCACATGAAGATTGTTCCTGGGCTGGCGAGATAGCTCAGCAGACTAAAGCACCTGCTTGGGCAAGCGCAGGGCACCTAACACCTGGCACCACATGCCCCGCCAGCCCCACCCCCAGGGCAGGCTGAGCTGGCCACCGAGACCAGGTGGAGTGGTGCACGCCTGTAATCCCAGTGCTGGGGAGGCTGAAAACAGGAGGATCACCACGAGTCTGAGCTGCGTCGTGAGGCCCTGCAACAACCACACACATACATACATACATACATACATACATATACACATACATACATATTGTTCCTGTTTACTATTAGTAGACTCATTGGTCAATGTGCCAGGCAAGAAAGTGCTAATGGAGGGGCCAGGCAGATGGCTCAGTAGAATAAGTGCTTGCCTGGCAAGCACAAGGGCCGGAGTTCAATCCCCAGTTCTGCAACAAAAAAAAAGAAAGAAAGAAAAAGAAAAAGCTAATGGACTCAACAGTGAAAAGTAAACCAGGAAATTTGTTTAATACATGAGCTAACTAATTTTTCTCTGTATAGGTTTATGATTTGAATAAGATTGCAAAAGAAATCAAGCTGCCTGGAGCTTTTATTCTTGGAGCAGGGGCAGGCCCATTTCAGACTCTTGGGTTCAATTCAGAGGTCAGTCCATATGCATAGTCACCCATTTTATTGATTGGACGTTTGATTTGCCTTTTTCCTGTTACTACCCTTTCACAAAGTATACTTTCTGAGCAAACTATAAATGGTTGATGTTATGTCCCTCTGCACATTTGACACTGTTTGGCGCATACCTGGACCACAGCACATGCTCCCGTTGATCCAACTGTCATGGAGCACTAACCTTTAATTTCAGATCACCTCAGAGGAATAGACTGAGCTTTAGATGAATCCAGAGCCTTGGGTATTCTGCTGAAAGCCGAGTGTAAAAGGAGTTTTATTCATATATATATATATATATATATATATATATATATATATCATGTATTCCTCACTGCTTTCTAAATCTTTGCTTTTGGTATGGAAGATGCTTGAGTTAGATGGGGTATTTAACAACCTAATCTGGAATGCAAGTCCAATAGCAGCAAACTATCATAGGATACTATGGTTATTTATAGCAGCTAATACCTATTACCAGTATATTTCATAATATGCTGTATTATATATGATACATACTAAATAGGATATTAACATGAAAACATGTACATTTTATGATGCATAATTAACTATTAGTAATATTAGTATATATGAATATATAGTATATGTGAAAGACATTAAAATGTTTTAAACTCTTAAGATAAAAACTTTATATTATTCAAAATGGTAGCGGATTAAAGCACCTGCTTAGGCAGACACAGGCTGGGGTTCGATCCCCCGCTCCCCGGGGCATGCTGAGAGTGCCTGCATAGAAGTACTGATTGACTGGCTTCTTTTCTTTTCAGTTTATGCCAATTGTTCAAACAGAAAGTGAACGCAACCCTCCTGTGAATGGAAGTTACTTTGCCTGTATTAACCCTGCAGACGGAGGTTACCTA